GAGGGAGCCTTCCCAGGCGGGGGACCAGCAGAGGAGGAAGGGGTCCCTCGACCACGGGCTCCCCCCGAGCCCCCGACCCGGGAGCGCCCCGGCCACCCCCAGACCCGGGTCCCCTCCCGCTCCCGGGGGGCCCGGGAGAAGCCGACCTTCGTAGTTCAAGTGAGCACCGAGCAGCTGCTGATGTCCCTGCAGGAGGACGTGACAAGGAACCTCCTGGGGGAGAAGGGGGCAACCGCCCGCGAGACGGGGCCCAGGAAGGCGGGGAGAGGCCCCGGGAATCGAGAGAAAGCCCCGGGCCCCAGCAGGGACCCCACAGTCCTGGACAGCGGGAAGAAAGCCCCAAGCCCGAACGAGGGCCTGAGCCTCCCCGTGAATGGGGTGACAGTGCTGGAGAACGGGGGACAGAGAGAGGAGAAGGTGGCGGAGAATGGGGGCCTGGGGTCCCCAGAGAAAGAAGAGACAGTGCCGGAGAAAGTGCTGGAGAATGGGGAGCTGCCACCCCCAAGGAGGGAGGAGAAAGTGCTGGAGAATGGGGACCCGGGGTCCCCAGAGAGAGAAGAGAGAGTGTTGGTGAATGGGGGCCTGACACCCCCAAAGATCGAGGAGAAGGGTTCAGAGAATGGGGGCCTGAGACTCCCCAGGAACATGGAGAGGCTGCCAGAGACTGGGCCTTGGAGAGCCCCAGGGCCCTGGGAGAAGATGCCCGAGAGTGGGGGTCCAGCCCCCATGACCGGGGAGCCAGCCCCAGAGACCTCGCTGGAGAGAGCCCGGGCACCCGGCGCCGTGGCCTTGGCCCTGAACGGCGGGGAGACAGCCCCTGGCCCCACTGGCCCAGCCCCCAGGAGCGGGGTGCCGGAACCCGGGACGGAGAGGAGAGCCCCCGAGACTGGGGGGGCACCGAGAGCCCCCGGGGCTGGGAGGCTGGACCTCGGGAGTGGGGGCCGAGCCCCAGTGGGCATGGGGATGGCCCTCGGCGGCGGCCTCGGAAGCGGCGTGGACGCAAAGGCCGGATGGGTCGACAGCACGAGGCCACAGCTGCCTCCGCCGCCACTGGAGGCACAGCCGAGGAGGCCGGAGCCAGCGCCCCAGAGAGCCAGGCCGGAGGTGTCCCCCGAGGGAGAGCCCGGGGTCCCAGACAGCAGAGCCGCCGGAGACACGGCACCCAGCGGAGACGGGGACCCCCCCAAGCCCGAGAGGAAGGGCCCCGAGATGCCACGACTGTTCTTGGACTTGGGACCCCCTCAGGGGAACAGCGAGCAGATCAAAGGTAAGTGGGCTGCTGGGAGCAGGGGACCGTGGTTGGGGGCCGAGGTCCAGCCCCTTCCAAGGCGTAGATGCAGTGGAGAAGCTCAGGCTCCCGGGTACCAGACCGGTTAGCCTGGCAGTGACTAGGGCAGACTGTGGAGCCGAACCACCTGGGCTCAGATCCTTGCTTATCCCCTTCCTAGCTCTGTGATTTGGGACGAATGACCGTACTTTTCTATGCCTTGGTTCCCCACCTGCCAAAAATGGTTGAAAGGATAGCATCTACCTAATAGGGTTGTTGTGAGGGTTAAATGAGTTAGGACTTCCAAAGCTTTTGGCCCAGCGCCTGGCACTCATAAGCATCTGCGGTTATTACCACAGTTCACTTAGATGGTGGAGGAGGGTCTCAAACTCAGATGCCCATGGGTGCCAGACAGTACAAGAGAATGAATGAGAGGGGGGAATGAATGAATGAATGAATGAATGAGAGCTGGGAGGGGCGGGGTGGGAGATGGGGAGGAAATGCAGCCACTTCTCAGCTTCAGTCAGGAATGCCCACTGCGTGTTGCCAAATATGCCACTACCTCCCCTGAAACCAGAGTTCTGGTGTTTTCCTGGTTGAAACCAATTCAATCGAAGCCTCTCTGTGGGCTGGGCTGCCAGTGTGTGATCACTGGTTCCAACTTTCCAACAAGCTGGGGCATCTGTGCAATGTGCCAGGCCTCCCATATGCCAGGCCCTGAACTGCCCAACACTGGGACGCAGGGGGCCTGAGATCTTACCCTGCCCACCGTGGTACTGGTAGCCTGAAAGCCGTAGAAATGTCTTTTCTCAAAACCGAGGTGGTTTTTGTTTTGTTTTTGTTTTTGTTTTTTAAAATAATTTTTATAGTTCTTTATTATTATTATCATTTTTCATGGAGGTACTGGGGATTGAATCCAGGACCTCCTGCATGCTAAGCATGTGCTCTACCATTGAACTATACCCACCTCCCTCCTCTCGAAGCTGAGTTGATAGGAATACGGGAATTTTTTTGTCATAGAGAGGGGACAATTTAAGAGAAGATAAATGAAGAATAAAGATAAATGGCCCCTGTTTAGATGTAGACATAGGGACTGTGGTTCCAGCGGAATCACCCTGAGGCCTGATTTCCTCAAATATCTGTATAAAAGCTATAAATGGCCAGGCCCTGTTTTATTTTGGCAACTTCACAACCACACTTGAGGGAATTGGTATCATCTCCATTTGCCAGAGGAGCGTGAGGCTCAAGAGGGAAAGGTCGGGAAGGGGACTGAGGAGAGAAACTTCCTTCCTCAAAGCCCATGGTATTGGAACACTACCATTTCCTCCAGATTGTTGTGGGGAGTTTGCAACCAGCTGTGTCCGGAAAGACCCCAGGCAGCATGAAAATGTCAGGGGATGAGCAGCTAAGATGCTTCAGAGGAGTACTGGTGTTGTTGGATGAGAAGAGGCTGAGAACAACCGACCTTTTTTTTTTTTAACCCGTATGAACTCCTACTCATCCTTCATGACTCCACTCAAATTTCCCCTTCTCTGGGAATCCTTCCTGATTTCTAAAAGATGTCACCCTGTCCTTCCTCTGGGTGTCCATAGCCCCTGATAAAGTCCCCCCACCCATCACTTTGAGATGGGTGGTCAGGGGAGGCTTCATTGAGATGACTTTTGAGCAGACTTGAAGGAAGTGAGCCAGGTGAACATCTGGGAGAAGGATGTTTCAGGTAGAGGACACTGAGATGAGCACTAATTTGGCATGTTCAGTGAGTAGCAGGTCAGTGAAGTTGGAGTAGAGTGAATGAGGTGAGGAGAGAGACCCCGTCCACATTCATCTTTCTCCCTGCCCTGCCCCTCCTCTCATCCCCACCATCACCAACAGGGCCTGGCACACAGTTCACTGACCGAGTAATGGAGGAATGAGTGGCCCCTGTCCTTTTACCAGTGAGGAAACAGAGACTCAGAGAGGTGGATCTGTCTGCCCAGGGACACACAGCAAGAGAGCAGGGTAGGCTTGGAATTTGAAGTGAGGTTTCCTCTTCCAGAGTCCTGAAGTCCTTCCCTCCCAGCAGGCTGAGATCAAGGAGTCTTAGGGCAGGGAAAAGGCCTGAAGATGGTTAGACACACCAGTTTTATCTGGCAGTCAAAGGCCAGAGATGGAAAGTACCTTGGTCAACATCATATAGCCCGGAATATTCATTCATTAATCCCACAAATATTGACTGAGTACTTCTGGGTGCTTGGGGCTTGGGGATGCAGCCAGAATGAGCCTGACTCAGCCTCTGTTCTATGACAAGGCAAACATTAATCAGGTTGCCACAGAATTATAGTTCTATACTGAGATCATCTACTCGGAAGTAGAGTAGTGCTTGGTGCTGTGGGGTGCAGAGCAGGTGGTCTGGCCTGACCTCCTGGGAGATCTCTGAAGGCTTTGAAAGACCAGACAGAGCTGGAAGATGAATAGGACTTGAGTTACAAAAGGAAGTTCCAGGCAGAGGGAACAGCCTGTGCAAAGGCTCAGAGGTGGGAGGAATGGGGATGTGTCCCATGTGACTTAGCTTGAGGTCAAGCCAGAATGAGGTAGGGACAGAGCGCCGAGAGGTCAGCAGAGCCAGGGCACTCGGGCCTGGTGGGCCATGGGAGAAGCTGGAGCTTTGTGCTGTGGGTACTGGGGAGCCATGGGGTTAAGCACTGGAGTAGGGGGAAGAGCTCTCGCACACTGCTTGGAGAACCCCAGTGCAGCCTGGCGGTTCACAAGGATGGAAATAGGCCCATACTGTGGCTAAGGTTACCCAAGGACACACAGCTAGGCGGGAGGGCATGCCTCAGTTTCCCCAAGAACTGGGGCTCACCACGTCTCTCCCCCTCGCAGCCAAACTCTCGCGGCTTTCGCTGGCGCTGCCGCCGCTCACGCTCACTCCGTTCCCGGGGCCGGGCCCGCGGCGGCCCCCGTGGGAG